AGAGAACAACAGGTCTGTACCCTGTCCTATCTTGTGCCATCCTCACAATCTCTGACATAGCATACTCGGGGCCATTGCTGCAGGCACTATGTCAATCCCTCTGACTGAGGCTCTTTCTCTCTTTCTCTGACCCTCCACCTTTCCAAGCATCATGTCCCTTTCCAAAGAATAGCTTCTCCTAAAACATTCCCAAAGTACATGAAACTAAGCTTTATCACCTTTGCTCCAAGGAGGCAAAGCTTTTGCCTCACTCTGGCTGCACTTTCTCCAACACATGTTTATTTGTCCTTTTGGCAGTTCATGGAAAGTTCTGTACTCTTCTCCAATACCACAACTCAAAGGTATCAATTCTTCTGTTACACTTATTCATTGTTCAACTTTCAGATGCATACCAAGTGATTGAGAAGACCATAGCCTGAATCACTTGCACCTTAGTACTCAAACCGACATCATTGCATCATTGCTCCTCGATAATTTAGAGAAGTCCCTGAGTGCAGACTTTCCCAATGCAATGTCTCCTCTTTCCTGACTGCTAAGGGTGCTGATTGTGGATCCGTGTAAGATGAAATCATTGACAGTTTCTATCTTTTTTTCTACATATCATGATGTTACCTATTGGTCCAGTGGTGAGAGTTTTTCTTGACCTTGAGATGTAATCTATATTGAAGGCTATGTTCTTTGATCTTCTGCAACAAGAACTTAAAATCCTTCTCACTTTCAGCAAGCAATATTGTGTTATCTGCTTAACAAAGATTATTGATGAGTCTTTGCCCAATCCTGATGCCACGTTCTTCTTTATAGAATCCAGCTTGAATAATTTGCTCAGCAAATAAATTGAATAGGTATGAAAAAAAGATACAACCCTGACACACCCTTTCCTAATTTTAAACTATGTAGTGTTCCCTTGCTCAACAACCTCTTGGTCTAGGTATAGGTTTTGCAAGAGCACAATTAAGAGTTGTGGAATTACCATTCTTCTCAATGTTAGCCACAATTTATGATGATCCACACAGTCACATACTTTTGCATAATCAATAAAACACAAATAGACATTCTTTTTTTAAAAGTAAAAGAAAAATTCTTTCATTGTTATACAATCCCTCCCTCCAAGTCCACTCCACTATGCAGCCTTCATTCTGGACTCCTGACACGACAGTAGTACATAATCATACATCCCTTTTAAACAGTTCTTTCCCTCGTGTTTCAAAGCAGTATACATAATTTATCTAATCCGCAGCCCTAAGGCCTGTCTTAAATTGTTTTTGGTGAAACATTCTTCTAGGTCGTATAGCCCTGGTGTGTCCACTTGCCGTACAGAGGTAACTTGTGGTCTCTATGAAGCTGAACACTGTGACACAGACATGTCAAATGCCATAATGGTCACCCATGGTGAACAGTGTTTGATGGCACTCCCAGTTAAATCTAGCTTGGAAGCAGGAGTGGCATCCACTTCCGTAAATAGCTTGCCTCTGGAAACCCTATGAACCTGGAGAAAGGATGAAAGTTATGCGGTGTCGAGGACTTTAGTTCATAGGGTCACTATGAGTCGCCAATGACTCAATGGCACTTCACAACAACAGCAACATCCCATCTTTCTCAGTCTTCCCCCAACCCCGATGTCAGTCCCATTCTACAACAGTGGCACTATGCAGTATTTGTCCTTTTGTGACTAAGATATTTCACTCAGCGTAGTGTCCTCCGGGGTCACCCATTTTGAATAATATTGCATGAGTTCCTTGTTTTTCAATGCACATAGTATTCTATTGTGTGAATATACCATAGCTTCTCTATCCATTCATTTGTTGATGGGCATTTAGGTTGTTTCCGACTCTTTGCTATTGTGAACAAAGATGCGGTAAACATGGATGTGCAACAAATAGACATTCTTCTGGTATTCTTTGGTTCCAGTCAGGGTCATCTGACATCAGCAATGTCATCCCATTTGAACTTCTAGAAGTTCTCTGTAATGCTAGCCATTTTTTCACGATCATCAGTAGTTTTTTTGCTGGCATGTGATATTAATGATATTTTTTTATAATTTTTCACATTCCATTGGATCATCTTTCCTGGGAATGGGAACAAATATTGATCTCTTCCAGTCAATTGGCCAGAGAGATGTCCTTCAAATTTCCTGGCATAGCCTAGTGAACACATCTAGGGCTGCATCTCTTAGTTGAAACATATCAATTGGTATTCCCTCGATCCCTGGTGCCTTATCTTTTGCCAATGCATTCAGTGAAGCTAGACCTTCTTCCTTCATTATAAATAGTTTTTTAAAAAACCAAAAATGGTAACTTTACACATGGATCTTCCCAGATGGACTACAAGGTATCAGATTGACTACATCTGTGGAAAGAAGTTGAGTTGGAGAAGCTCAAGATCAGTGGTCAAAACCAGGCTAGATGCTGACCCTTCTCCAGTACCACTATCAGATATTGCTCTAAAGCTAGGCATCCAAAGTAAGACAAATGAAGAAGAAGGATTGGTCACCTACTCCCAAAATAATAAGCCTTTAAAAACCTTACATACAATAGAACACTCTTAGCACTAGCAGTTAGGAAATCAAATGATGAATTGCTTTGGAAAAGCTGGTTGTCAGCAACCTCTGCACAGTGCTAAAGAGCAACAATGTCAGTCTGGAGACAAAGGTGCACCTGATCCAGCCATGGTTTTTGCAATTACTTGTTATGCATCTGAGAGCTGAGCAATGACTAAAGATGACAGAAGTAGAATTGATGCCTTTGAGTTGTGCTAGAGAAGAATATTGAACATACCATAGACTGCCAAGAGAACAAAGAGGTCTTCCTAGAGAGAGTGAAACCAAGTTGCTCCTTGGAGGCAAGGATTGTAAAGCTCAGTCTCATATGCTTTGGGCATTTTTCCAGAAGGGGTCAGACTTTGGAGAAGGACATAACACTTTGAAGGGTGGAGGGTCAGCACAGGAAAGGAAGACCCTGCATGAGATGGACTGATACAGGGACAGCGGCAATGGGAGCAGATGTGTGAGAGACAGTAAGATTGACTCATATATATACAAATGGTGTAAGGAACAGACAAGTGGGTTTATGAATAAATAAATAGCTGTTTAGATGTATGCACGCATAGAGAGAATAATTAATAGTCAGGAGGATGAGTTGGTGGATTAAAGGTTGGATGAACAATGAGTTAGAGAAGTAGAAGAGTGGAAAAATTAATGATTGGATGAAGATATTGTTGAATGGATGTGTGGAGAGACTGACCTTTGAGGAGATGGATTTGGCAGAGGGATAAACAGATGGACAAAAGGTTGGATGAATGGATAGTTGAACAAACATATGAGTTGATGTTGGGATGGAGAGCTGAATGAATGGATTCGTGGAGAGATTGATGGAAGTTGAGATAAATAGATGGATAGGTGAGTGTCATACGTCATGTAATGGTTGAAACTTTGTGCCTTTGTAGCCAGACCATATTATCTTCATTTCTGTTCTATCATTTTCCAGCCATATTTGTTTCTTCATCTATTGTAAAGAAACAGGATGCTGGTCCTGATGGGCAAGTAAAAGGAAGCTTTTTAGGTCATGGGGTTTTTCTGGGGGGTCGTGTTTGATATGCATTACTGTTCTTTTCCCCCAAGAACAGGTGTCCTTGAGTCTTTGCCTAGGGTGGAAGTCTGCCAAATGCATTGGCTGAAAGCCCCTTAGTGGGAGGGAGAGGACTGCTGGCAGAGGCCTGGAAGACTCCACTCTGGGAGTTTGGCTTTTTGCTCCTTGTGGATGCTGGTCCTGACAGGCAAGTAAAAGGAAGTTTTTGGGGTCATGGTTTTTTGGAGGACGTGTTTGATGTGTATTACTGTGCTTTCCCCCCAAAGAGTGGGTGTCCTTGAGCCTTTGCCTAGGGTAGAAGTCTGCTCAAAGGCATTGGCTTAAAACTCCACAGGGCCCTCAGGCCTGTGGCCCTTGGGCCAAATTTATTAATTTTCTAATGAATATTTCTTGAATGACACAGCAATCTTTTATCTATTTGCTGAACTGAACAATTTGGTATTGCTCTGATGCTGCACACTGTTCCATAGTCTTGTCAAACACCATAACGGTTACCCATTATGTACAGTGTTTGGATGAGTTTCCAGATTGATTTATGTTGGGAAGCAGGAGTGGCATCCACTTCCTAAACTAGATGCCTCTGGAAACTCTACAAACTTTTTAAACTCTACAAACTCTCTACACTCTATAAATGTACAGAAATTATGATAGTTATAGAACAGAGCTCTCTACAGAAATGATGTTAGTCATAGAACAGAGTTTAGGTCTTTTGTGCAAAACTTACTCTCAATTGTGTTCATCTTGATGTCACTTAACCACTGCTAAATTAAACTAGTGCTGTTATATCTGGAGGAACACTCTTCCACTTTGTACATCCGTCTTTGACAATGTGCTGTATGAAGTAACCTGGGTTGCTGTGATGCTCAACCTTGTACCATTGGGGTATCAAATACCAGAATGGCTTCCCAGTGTGGACAGTGTTTGGTGGAGCTCCCAGTTTTAAAACAGGTTTGGAAGCAGGAGTGGCATCCACTTCCTAAACCTCTGGAAACTCTATGAACGTAGAGAAATGATGACAGTTATGGAAAGGCAGTAGGTCTTTTGTTCATGAAGTCTCTATGAGTTATGCTCGACTCAACAGCAATCAACAACAACATTGTAAAGAGCTGATAATAATAGCCACTATCTTCTGGAGCTTAAGGAATTAATTTGCCTATATAAGTATAGGCCCAGGAGTACTTCCAGTCACATAAATACATTTATTATCAAGATTTCTTGATGGATGACCAACTGATTAGATTTGGATGCAAAGATGAGGAATGACTACACCAAGGAAAGAGGAAACAGTGAGAGTAATGGCAAAGTCATGACATAAATTCATAAGACATCTGCACACATTTTATTAGATGTTTATAAGGGTTTTTAGGAGCTTCTTCTCTCTGTTTCAACAGCTGTATCCTGAGTTATACACAAGGATCACATCTGGACATAGGATAAAGTGACATCACCTTTGATCTCCAATGTGTCCACCATCTGGAAGGCCGTGAGCCGATGGGAGAAGTCAAAGAGGTGCTGGCCATTGGCATAAACTTTGAAACGGTCCATGCCACATCGAATGGACAGCTGCAGGGAAAAGGGTGGGCATGATTCCAGGTACAGAAAAGAGGTTCTGAAGGGAAGACAGAAAAAAAAAAAACCAAACAACCAAAACCCTCCAGACTCACATCGAAGAACTGTCCAGGACCAAATGGGTTATAAGAAACGTTCCTCTCCTCAGGTCCCCATGAGCCGTTCAAATTGCTGTTCCGAACCACTGCACGCTCATTCAGGCGGGGGTTGATGTGCAAAGCCACATCTCCTGTGCCTCCCACCCTGAAGTTGATGATGAAGCTAAGGACAGAGAGAGTAGAGTCAAGCAGATATCCATGGTTCCTCAAGGGAGGAGACTGAGGGTTGTATTTGAAGGAGGAAGAGAATGAGAATCAGGACTTCTGAGTGTCAGTAAATTCACTAGGGTTCCCACCTCAACCCATGCCCCATACCTCTGGGCTGAGGGGGGTACAAAGCCTTTGATGATGATGGTTCTCCGGGCTATAAGCCCCCCTTGCAGTCTCCCCATGAATGGCACAGGCTGTAGTAAAAGAACATAGGGTCTTATTCTCTCTCTCGGATCATCAGAAGCCAGATGCAGAAAGGGATTTTCAAAAAGGAATCTCTTCCTTCACTCTGATCTCCCACTTCCTGTACCAAATATCCCTCTACTCCTAGGTTTCTAACCCTCTCAGAGTTCCCCACATGTCAGAATCCCCTCCGCAACTTCAGCACCTGCATTCCCTCCAAGTGCCCACCACAGAGCCATAACCCTTGCAGGGTGCCATACCGGGTTGAAAGTTGGAGGTCCCTCCATGGTCTGTGAAGTGAAGGAAAAGAGAAGTTATTCAACAAACATTTGCAGCACACCTACTATGTGCAGGGTAGTACAGCTGGGGCTCTGACCACACTTAGTCCTCTCTAGTTCTCACCATCCCACCACAATTTGCCTTCTCCTCCACATGGCTCTTCCACTTACAGGCAGATTATTCGGTTGAGGATAGCTTTGTACAGGACCCTATAGGTGGGAATGAAAAGAAGGAATGATGAGAGAGGCTTGATATCATTCACCTGCTCAGGACCTCCTAAACTACTGGACCCCCATTTCAAGGGGAAACCACTACCCACTAGCAGGTACTTACTGGGTATGCTGGGATAGCCATGGGCATCTGTAGGCACAGAAGGAGAAAGAGGTGATGAGAGTGACCCCACAGAAAGGATAAGAGACATCAAGGATACCTTCCCTGAGGAAACCCAACAAGCACTACTGTCCAAGGAAACTCTAGAGTCAAAAGATAGCACCTAGGTGATCCTTCATTTTTAGGAGATTTCCAGTGCTGTGAACCTCACATCACCCCTTTAAGACAACATCTGGTAAATTCTATTATCTGTATACTTTCAGGGAGCTCTGGTGATTTACTCCATAAGGAGTTGTTCTGCTAACCCAAAGACCAAGTCTTTCTAGTGTTTCCTCTGGGGAAAGGTGGGCAATTTCCTCTCATTTGATTCACAGCTTCCAGATACCCACTGGCGGCTTAGCTATGAGTCAAATCCTAGTCAATGCCAATTAGTGAGTGAGTACATATTCCACACTCTCATTCCTTCCTAGAGAATTCATCCCTCTCCAGCTTGCATCATTTTTATTGCTATTAAGTCAGAACTGACCCTCCAACAAGTCTTCAGAGACTGTAAATCACATGGGAGGAAATTGCCCGTCTTTCTGACAAGAAGTTGTTGGATTCCAATCATCTACTAGGCCATCTCTTTCAGTGTTTAGAAGGACTCAAAGAGTCGGTATGTGTCAAGCACACATGGCAGTGCTCACCTCTGGCAGGTGTGTTACACTCTGTAAGTTTTTGTTACCTGCGTGATTTTCCTGATCCAATTCTTCTATCTCCCAACAGATTACATTTACACTACTGAAATGGAATTTATCTTTTTTTTTCCTTTGTCCCTGTCTTTAGATGCCAGATCAAGGTATTGTAGCTTTCTTATTTTATGAACTCCAAAATAGCTTCTTCTATTAAAAATTTTATCATCAAGAATTACTTTGCTGTTGTGTATTGTTGAAAATTGTTCTTGCTTTTGGTTTACTAACACATGTTTACCCATTCTCTTCTTGGAGGACACTAGTGGTTTGAAGGTTGGGATTATAAAAAGTAGTGCTGCCTTGGATATTCCAGGATGTGCGTTTTAATAGTGATATGTGCACTATAGGAGTCCAGTGACTTAATAGGTTAAGTGTTGAACTGTTAATGGAAGGTTTGAACCCACCAGCCAGTCCTCAGGAGAAAGATGATGTGATCTCCTGTAAAGTTTTACAGCCTGAAAAACCCAATGGGGTTTGGTTCATACACTGTATATAATAGAAATTCCATGATTCCTACATCATTGATCATGTGTTTGTTCAGCTTTTACAAACAATCCCAAACCATTTGCTAAAGCAATTATGCCAGTTCACACTCCCAACAAAATGGGAGTGTATGAGAGGTTTGATTGTTTTACATCCTACCACACTTGCTACTATATACCCTTTTCATTGTGATTCTTTCTATTGGATACGTAGTAGTGTCACACTGTTGGTTTTCATTGCCTTTTCTAGATTACTATTGATATTGAGTAACTTCTCATAAGTTTTCTCTTCATGTGTTCTTACTCCTCTTTTCCTTCAATTCCTGACTCAGCTGATATACCTTCTCTTCCCCTAGGACACCTTTGCTGACCCTATGACTAAGTCAGACCCCTTAGTTGGACTCCCCAGACCTCTTTTATATTCTCCATCCTAGTCCTGATACTTCTGTCTGTGTCACACTCATCCCAACTCTGGTCACTCACAGCCACCAATATCTGGATGACTTGTCTATCTTCCCATTGAGTTATCTTGGTCACAATTGGACCCATCAAAGGGATTCACAGAGAACATGTACTTGTGGAAAATAGATGAATGTGGCCATGAATTAAATAAGGCAGGAAGCAACCATCTACACACATGGCTCTGGGGAGCAGCAGGCTGTCCTCCAATGAAGTTGATGGATTGAAGCTCCAAATCCCCGTCCACTTGCAGGTATTTGACCATCTGCAGGGGGAGCCTGTGTCCAAACTCGTAAAAAGGGCTTCCATTTATCACCACCTAGAAAGCAGGGATGAAAGATCAAGAGCCAGTAAACATGACCTTTAAGGTGAAAGTGAAAGGTGAAACTAGGAAGCAGAGCAAAGATCTCAAAGTACACCTTGGGATATATTAGTGCCAAAATCAATGTCCTTACAGTCCATAAATCAGAGGTCAAGCAGGAGGTCAGAAGCAACTCATAGATTGAAGAATGGAGAGGCTAGAGAGTTTAGTCTTGGGATGGAAATTGGGAGAGGACCAAATCTTAGTCCTGGTTTTGTCCCCAAATGAAAGGGTTTGAGCTCTAGCTCTAATATGTCCAGACATCAGCTAAGTCACTTCACCTCCTCAGTCTTTGTTTTCTCATCTGTGAAAAGAGGGCTCACTCAATTTTGGGATTCCTAGAAAGTTTTACAACCTAGCAAAGTATATCAAAACATGCTAGAAATACTGTACAGTAGATGTGGGCCTTGTTATCATATCTCTGCATACTTGAAATTAATTTCTATGTCTATTCAGAGGCTTAAGAAAGAACATGCGGCTGGGAGCCAGCTCTGAGTATTGCTGGTGTGGAAATTATAGAACAATATCATTGATCTCATATGCAAGCAAGATTCTGCTAAAGATTATCCAAAAACGACTGGAACAGCACATCAACAGAGAACTGCCAGAAGTCCAGGCTGGGTTTATAAGGGGTTATGGTACTAGGGATATTGTAGCTAATGTTAGATGGATCTTGGCTGAAAGCAGGGAATACCAGAGGAATATCTGTGTTTCATTGATTATGCAAAGGCGTTTGACTGTGTGGATCATAACAAACTGTGGCTGACTCTGAGAAGAATGGGAATCCCAGAACACTTGATCGTGCTAATGACTTGGACCAGGAGTTAGTCATCAGAACAGAGCAAGGAAACACTGAATGGTTTGAAATTGGGAACGGTGTACACCAGGGATGTGTCCTATCTCCATACATTTTCAACCTGTATGCAGAACAGATTATCTAGGAGGCTGGGCTGTATGCGAAGTGTGGCATCAGAATTGGAGGAAGATTCGTCAACAATCTGCATTATGCAGATGACACAACCCTACTTGTTGAAAATGAGGAGGACCTAAAGCACTTGCTGCAGAGGGTCAGGAATCGCAGCCTTCAATATGGATTGAGGCTCAATATCAAGAAAACAAAGATTTTCACCACGGGGCCAATTGGCAGCATCAGGATGGATGGTGAAGAGATTGAGATTGTTCACAGCTTTAGTTTGTTTGGCTCCACAGTCAACACTCTTGGCATGAGCAGCCAGGAAATAAAAAAAAAACGTATTGCAATGGGAAAGTCTGCTGTTAGGGACCTCTCTAAAGTACTGAAGAGCAATGGTGTCTCTCTGGAGACTAAGGTGTGCCTGATACAGGCCATGGTCTTTGCAATCAGTTGTTATGCATCAGAGTTGGACAATGACTAGGAAGAATAGAAGGAGAATTGATGCCTTTGAGCTGTGGTGCTGGAGAAGAGTATTGAATGTACCATGGACTGCTAAGAAAACAAATAGGTTCATCCTAGAGAGGGTTAAACCGGGATGCTCCTTGGAAGCAAGGATTCTGAGGCTCCATCTAACATACTTTGGACATGTTGCAAAGGAGGGACCAGTCCTTGAAGAGGGACATCATGCTTGGGAGGGTGGAGGGACAGTGCAGGAGGGGAAGACACTCTGTGAGGTGGATTGATTCAGTGATTGGGGTAATCAGGGTGAGTGTGTCAGAGACAGTGAGATTGGCACAGGACAGAGCAGGGTTTAGGGCTGTTGTACATAGGGTCGCTATGAGTCACAGGCGACTCGATGGCACATAACAACAACAACGTGCTTTAATCACTCCACTTTAATCAGTGGAGTCTCTCAAACATTCTTTGATGCAGGACCTGGGATCATTCTCATTGGTTTATAAAATCAAAGTTCTAGATGCTAGAATGATCTGCTTAAGGTCACACCTCAAGAGTGCTAAATCCTAGACTTGAACTTGGCCTATCCAGCACCAAACTATAATGTTAATCTTTGATGATGAGGTTAATTCCCAAGATTGATGTAATCTGATGCCCATAGAAGGAAAGTCAAGGGAGGGTCTCCAACTGGCAATGGCCTCCACCCCACAAGAGTCTTCTCAGTCATGTGAGAGTGAGTGCTAGGATTTCCACTGAAGTTTTATTTATGGAGATCAGGAGGTGGTGTGGGAGAGGAGAAGGATATCAGAGAGTCCTACATAGTTGTCAGGAGACGCTCTCTTAGACATGTCACCCTGTGGTGTACACAGAACACCACCCGAGTCTAAGACACAAAAACATTAATGAGAAAAGAATGAAAGATGGGAGAGGAAAGGAGGGGAATGAAGAAGGGAGGAAGGAAATAAGGAGAGGAGAAAGAGTATCAGGGGATGACCCATCCTTTCCACAGACAGACCTTGTAGTGCTCAGGCATGACCATGAAAACCAGCTCAAAGCTGGAGCCCTTTTGGAAGGGCATGCTTTTTTTCCTCTCCTCATTGCCCCACTGGCCACCTGTCTTGGTGTTGAAGACCACCTTGTCCCAGCCGTCAAAGCGTGGATTGAAGTGGAAGGCAATGTCTGCCTCATCGCCCTGGCCCGCCATGAAGTTCACGGAAAATCTGGAGAGACACAGGAAGGGCTTCATCCTTGGTCCTAAGGATTAGCAGGAAGCATTCTAAACCCCTCTCTGCCCCAAAGTGCAAGATTGTACCTCCGCACCAGCTTTAAGAAGGCATACTTGGCATGCTGACCCAAGCTGGTGAGGTAGGGGAGAAGTGGTCCCCTTAATTCCAGAGGGCCCACCATCATCCCTTAACTCACACTTCCTCTCCTCAAACACATGCTCCAGTTTCTGTCAACCTAAAAACTTCAGAGCTGAGCACTTATCCAGCATTTACCAGAGCCAGGAATGTCTGTCCTTTGCTTAAATTTAGACTTTCTTGTCTCTCTCCTTTTTTTTTGTCAGCAGGCATCCAGAGGAACTCTCTACTCGGACTCCTCCTGAGACCCCCACATAGCCTGCTTTCCTACCTCTCAGTCTTCTACTCCTACTGCCTGACCCTCATTCACTTTGCTCCCTCCACACTTGCCCCAGCAAACCAACCTCTTCCAAGTTATTCCAACTGAGCAGATTGTTCAGGGCCTGCCTGAGGGCCTCTGCAAGTTAGTTCCCCTTCCTGGTACCAGTTCGCCCAGCTATCCCAAATTCTTTTTACCTACTTCAGTCCTATGCTGTAAGGATGCCCCTTCTGACCACTTTATTTAAAGAGACAATGTCCCCTGTTTATATATTCTCCCCATCACATTCCCTTCTTACTTCTTAGCAATGGGCTTGTTAAATATTTGACTTCTTTTTCATCTATCTCCCCTACGAGAAAGTCAAGTCCACTAGGATGGTGCTCTCTACTTGTCTGTCCTGTTCATGGCTTCCTCTCTGTCCCTCAGCACAGGATTAGTTCCCAGTGAAGAAAACAACAATATCATATACCCATTTAATTATTATCTCCATTTTCTTCTTGCCGTTGAGTATTCCCTGACTCATGGCGACCCTGTGTACAACAGTGTAACCCTGATCAGACCTGTGGCATCCTCACAAAGTCTGCTGTACTCAAGTCCATTGTGTCAATCCATGTCTTTGAGGGTCTTCCTCTACTTCACTGACGCTCTGTACTTTTCTAAGCATGATTCTCTCTCCAGGGACTAGGCCTTCCTGATCCTTGTCTCTAAGGAACATCTCTGGCTGTACTTCTTTTGAGTCAAGACTTGTATAGGAGTTATTTTATCCAAGTTCCCAGGTGGTGCAAATGGTTAACATACTTGGCTGTTAAACAAAATGCCAAGTTTGAGTCTACCCAGGGGAACCTCAGTAGAAGGCCTAGTAAATCTATTTCTGAAAAATCAGCCGTTTTTCAGCTTGACAGAACTCAGCGAGTTCTACTCTGACAGTCATGGAGTCTCCATTCATGGAAACAGACTTGGTGATTACTCCACTGGAGGCACAGTTTCATGCATTGAATCTACCTAGCAATCCCATTCTACAGAATAATTAAAGTATAGGGATATATAGTCATTTCCCAGCCACATAGTTGGCAAGTGCAAGCAGTGGAATTTGAACTCATGTTCAGAGGCTAAGATGCTAATTTGTGTTATCACACCATGAGCTATTCCTTGTGGGAAGCCAAATATTAAGTTATATCATAAACCATATGCTTAATCAGGAATTGAAGTAAACACAAAATATAAGCTGGAATTCCTCTTTTGACAGATTGTGGGAAATGAGCTGCTTCCTGAAAGAAAGAGGTAGGTAGGTCCTCCTGCAGAGGGATCCTTAAAAGTCTGCTTGTAGGGAGCTCTGGTGGCCTAGTGGCAAGAAACTGCACTGCAATCCCAGAGGAGAGCGCTTCAAATCCACCAGATCCTTTGCTAGAGAAGGAGGGACAATCTCTTCCTGTACCAGTCAGATCTGATTTGATGGTACACACACATGCACACACAATTAAAAAAATTTTTTAAGTCTATATTTGTGAACTACTTCCTTTCTGAGCTAAGCAATAGAGAAAAACTTGGCTTCATTTACTGAAGAATTCTCTTTATAATTTACTTCCTGGTGATTCTCAATAAAGACACAGAGGCGTGGCTTGAGGCTGCTTCAGTTTTTTGAGCTGTTCACCCCCTGCTTCATGCGCTCTGTTTTTATCTGTCTTGGTGTCCCCATCTTTTCTATGTTCTTAGTTTACAACACTTCCTAACTTTGAAGCTACCCATCAGGTGAGCCCTCCCAAACCCCTGCAGGGCCCATGGGTCCCTTATTTGATGACCCAGTCTAGGATTTCCTGGACCAGGGTTAGTCTTTGGCTACTGGGTAAGCTAGAAGAGAAGAATACCTCCTACCCCAAGGTCCAGAAACTTCCTGTTCTATAACCCAGCTCAGCCCAGACTGAGCAGATCTTACCTCCTCATGTGCTGGCTGGCCACTCCTTGGATGTAAATGGACATCCCCACGCTAAGACCTCCTGGGATAGGCTGATTGTAGGGTAAAGTCTGTAGAAGGAACAAAGTAAGGGACCTAGAATGCCATCTTCCTATTTTAGCTCTTATCCCTCATGGAGGAAGGCCTGCACCTCACTCTATTCCACTCCCTTAAGTAGAGGCAAGGAAATTAAGAGATGAAGGACAATGGGTCAAGGAAAAAATCAGGAGTTAAGGGTGAACATGAATGACCTGAGGACTAGGCAGGGAGTCAGTGAGGACTGTGTTACGGAAGTTGGTAGGGCCTCCTCAAGGGTCGTAGTTCTGCTAACTAAGCCAGATCCTGAGGATGGTCTCAGACTGACACTCACCGGGTTGTAGGTGGGCTGATAGCCAGGTGCAGGGACAAAGGCCATCTTGAGAGGCTAGACTGGTGGTGTGTCTTGAGAGAAGAGCTTCAGGAGTGAGGAGTGTTAACAGGTGGCAGGTGGCTCTTATAACTGAGGGCCAGGGAGTGGCTGAGAGGACAAGGTCCAAGTAGCCGCCTCTCCTATGGAGTTGCCAGCACCTTCTTTCCCTTGGGGAAACCCCTATTCTTGCTTATCCACCTCACTGGTGGTCTGCCAGGGTCCAAATCAGCTGGGTCAGGACTAGGGGGCTCAGATCAGGCTCCCCACCCCCCTCTCAAGACCCTCCTGCAAAGAGGAAGTCATGGTGAACTTCAATCCTTCCAGGGTCTTATCAGAGACCATAAAACCCTGCCCAGACCTTTGTCAAAGGGAGGGTAACATCTGTAGGGTTGGGCAGAGCTGCAGGAGTAGATGGGTGAGCAGAGGAAGTAGATGTAATCAGATAATGCCAGAACCGGGGACTCCTGACTCACCCAGCAACAGTAAGACAGCCACACTGTGTGACCATAGCAAGCCTTTGACTGCTGTGTACATTACATTGTTTGTATAGCTGCTTACATCACCACCTCTGGATGCAGAGGTTCTTGGCTCTGACTTGGTTCTTCCTGCCTGTGGGCCCTTCATAGTGAACCTCAGTGTGCCTATTTGCAAATGAGCAAGATATGGCAAGGTTCACATCTGTTTGCACAGAATTACTATGAGTCACAGTTGTATCAGCAGCACCTAACTGCAACAATATGAATCTTATGGAGTCCTTGCAAGTTAATAAAGGTAAAGTGCTTAACACATGGAGGTCACTAAAATAAATTCTTGTGCTCTTGTCCTCACGTTGTCCCTTGTTGTTGTTGTTATTGTTGTTCTTGTTAAGTGCCGTGACTCATAGCAACCCTAGAACAAAAGGCATGAACACTTGTAAAATTTTCATCATTTCTCCAAGTTCATAGAGTTTCCTAAGCAACCTATTTCAAAAGTGATGCCACTCCTGCTTCCAAGTTTGTTTTAATTAGGGAGCTCCGCCACTGTCCACCATGGGTAACCATTATTACATTTGACACATCAGTGTCATAGTGTTTAGCATCACAGCAACCACGAGTTACCTCTGTATAGCAAATGGACAGACCAGTTCTATACCACTTAGAAGAATGTTTGACTAAAAACAATTAAAACCAGGAATGAGTGCCACAGATTAAAATCACCCACCTTTGGCTTTGTAGCATAACTTTCTATCCACTAAGCCAACAGAGCTCTCTCTATGTTGTTGTTTAATACAATCAACTCACAGCAAATAGCCAGTAAACATTGCACACACATTCTCACCAGAACCAGAGATCAATCCTCTGTAGAATCAGACTGCTTCAGAATACTCAGCACCTGGATTCCAGCCCACATTGTCCCTGGGTGGCATAAATTGTTAAAGACTCAGCTACTGACCAAAATGCTGCCAATCAAATCTACCCAGTAATGTCTCAGAATTACCTGCTCTGAAAGGTTGCAACCATGTAACCCTGTGGGGTGGCCAGTAGGCAGAATTGACTTAATGGGGATTGCTTGATGTTAGTCCTTATTCTAAACACATAAATTCCAAAAATTAAAGGTATATGTGGATAGGAAACTTTAAGAAATGAGGCAATTTGCCTGATTGATTGGAAATGAAAGTGTAACTGGAAAACAATGATTCTGTTACCTGCCAGGAAAAATCAGTCCTGGAGACTGAAGTTGCAGCAAAGAAGAAGTTTTATTATATACTGCTGTATAGGAGATGGGTATTGTCAGGCCCAGACCAAAGTCAAGGGGAGAATGAAAGATTCAAAGAATACCGCATGTCAACAAAGGGAGTGAACACCTCACCCACCAGGCTAAACCACAATGGAATGCCCCTCCCTGAAGACCCTTACTATAAAAACTTGCCCCAAACCACCTTAGGGCAAGGTTTTCCCCTGGTCTGTCTCTCTCTCCAGACCAAGGAATGGGAGGCCCCCTTAATAAAGCTGCTCTAAGCTTTCTCTCTTGTCCCTTCCTTGAGTCCTTGGCCTTACATCCATTGTGAAGACCTAACATCTGGTGTACAAAACACAAGAGAAGAGTCAAGGTGTGTTGCACTCCCACTCTTTCGGGGTGATTTTGGCACCCCTCACTCTCTCTTTTGAACCTACCCGCTCACACAGTGTCAAGATATCAAATGGTAACGTAATGTCCCATTTCTCTTCTCTTCTCCTATTCTGTGTGTATGTCAGCTGACTGAATGCTTTGAGTGCTTGTGAAGTGCTGATGCTACTCTGAAGCCAAGGAATTTGATTGAGTCCCCACTTGTGGCTTGTGGTGATTTGGGGGATCCTCTGGGACCCCAACTGTGCCTGTGCTTGATATCGGCATACCTATTGCTAAGACACACTTTTACCCCATGAGAGGCACAGCCAGAGAGACATCTGCACAGACTGATGGGACAGACTCTCTGTTGTCTATTTCCATCCGTTTTGTGTTTATGTCTTGTCATCAGTAGTGTCCACTTTCCTTAAACTCCTCCTTTTTCTGGCAGCTGCTACCTCTATTCTGAAAGAGTCCTTCCTGGGAGTTATCTGTTGCTTCCTCCCATGAAAAAAATCTCTGTCCCTATTATTCTTCTGACTTCCGCCTTCTCCCCTCATTCTTCTTCTGCACTCTCAGACAGCTTTTCTGACTTTTCTCCCTCCCTCAGAAAGGCCCATTTGCTCATAAAATTTAGATATTTTTGCCTCTGGGCATTTTGGACTCCCTTAGGATTCAGGTCTTTCCATACTCAACTCCTATACCCAAAAATTGCATATCTGTGTCCCACAGGAGCCCACCCAAATGCCAGGTACTTCTTCCAGAATATTGATCATGATAGGAGATGTCCATGCCACCTTTGGCCTTTCCCAGAATCTGAGACTTCTGGATTTTAGAGGATGTTCTGAAATCTCGGCTACCTTCACCCACGGACCTGGACACCATGGGTAGCAAAATGTCTAAGCCCCAAGGGACAATCCCTTGGTCTGCCTCATCTTGAATCTTTCAAACCTGGGCCTGGCTGAGGAACTCTGCCCCAAGAGACTAACATTTTACTGTAATTGGGAATGGCCACAATACCAGCTAGATAATGACTTCTCAGTGAAAACAAGACTTTTGATCTCAGTACCTTTGAGATCTTGACAGCTTCTCCTAATGAACTCAGAGATGGACAGAGATCCCATATGTCAAAGCTTTCTTTCACTTATGCTCCCGTCCTTTTCTCTGCAAAGCCTGCCAACCTGTGCAGGATTGCTTAGCATAAAGCCTTCACTGATTAAGTCTCCCAATACCAAACCATCCCCTTTCCTTACTCTCTCCCAGGACTCATCCTCATACCCTCTGGGTGACTCTGCTTTTTCAGATCCTGTAGACTTCCTCTCTCAGCATTACCTGCCACCCCCACCTGCCTGCTGCTCCAGAACCCACCATTCCTTCTCCTTCAACTAGCCCAGACTCAACTACCCCCACCCTCACATCTCCCAGTTGCTAGCCACACATGGTCCCACTAGACCAAGTCTCTCCTCCGTACTATTCAGGACGTTGGAGGCATTGAGGGTCTCATTCTAGCCCATGCGTGTTCCTCCCTAACTGATCTTTCCCAAATTGAAAAATGTTTAGGTTCATTTTCCAAAAGCCCAACAATCTATACCAAAGAGTTTATGTAACTGACCCAGACCTACGATCTCACCTGGCATGACCTTTTGTTGTATTGTCCTCTACTCTGATGCCAGACAAAAAAGAGCATGTTCTCACTACCACACAGCAGCATGCAGAACAAGTGCATCTAGCAGATGGCTCTGACCTGGTTGGTCCCCAAGCCATCCCCCAGTAAGAGCCAAATTGGACATACCAAATTAATACAGTGACAGGAAGAGATGGTCAGGCCAGACGTGACCATATGGTTCAATGTCTGTTAGCCAGTCTACATGCCATCTTTCACTGAGCAGTCCATTTTTATATCCTCAGAGAGGTTACACGAGATAAAGATGAGAATGCAGCCACTTTCCTAAACCGTCTCACTGAAGTACTAACTCAGTACACCCTCTTAGACCCTACCTTAGGGACCACCATCCTAGCCACTCATTTTATCACTCAGTCAGCCCCTGATATCAAAAAGAAACTCAAAAAGACTGAAGATGGCCATTAAGCACCCATTCAGTACCAGGTAAACATGGCCTTTAAAGTTTTCCATCCCCAAGAGGAACAGACACTGATAGGGACACTCATGCCTGACAGAAGGAGAATATACAGGCCCTGATGTCTGCCTTTTGTCTGGAAGCAGTGAGGGGTCAGAAAACACCTCCTCATTGAACTACCTCCTGATACATGTTTCAAGTGTGGCAAATAGGGTCATTGGGCTAACTGGGGTCCTAACCTTTGCCCTCTGACACAGCCTTGTCCTATCTGTGAGACATTGGGCCATTGGAAGGCCAACTGCCCTTTGGTACCTAGCCACAACAGAGTAGTCCCTCCATTAAACCCAGTCTCCATCCCCGCCAACCTCTTAGATCTGGCTGCTGAAGAGTTAAGGTGCCTGGCTTGACAACTCCTATCACCCTTGCCGAGCTTAGGGTCACTCTTCAGGTAGCGGGCAAGCCAGTTTTCTTTCTTGTTGACATAAGGAATACATTTTCAGTGCTCCCTTTCTTCTCAGGTTCTGTTTTCTCTTCCCAGGTCTTAATAATGGGGATTGATGGTTTCCCTTCTAAGCCTTTTACTACTCAATCCCTCCTCATTACCTTTGACAAAAGAGTACTCACCCATTCCTTTCTAATTATCCCTACATGCCCAACTATGGGAAGCCAGACTTTATACCAAATATTATATGAAAACCCTTGTTCAGGAATTGAAGGAGTTACAGATTTATAAGTTAGGATTTCTCTTGTGGCAGATCCTAGAAAATGAGCTGTTTGTTCCGTGCAGACAGGAGACCGCTAGTGCCCCGCTACAGAGTAAGTGTTACTTCATGGGAAAGACTT